CTCTCCAGTCTCTTTTACAGTTTAGTGTGAAACTCTCCAACAGATCACCATTACAGTGTTCAATGGATACCTCATTTATGGAAAAAATTGACCAGTCACAGCAGCTTGTGGCAGTCCTTCCACTCTGATACTTTCATATATAAATGAAATTAGGGATCCTGAGACCAAATAATCCTTTAACCCCTTAAGGACCAAACTTCTGGAATAAAAGGAAATCATGACATGTCACACGTCATGTGTGCTTAAGGGGTTAAAATCTTTTCTTCATTTGTTTCCCACATATGGGCTTAAAATCATCCAGATACATACAACATATGTTGCAGTTCACCATTTTGACTGCAGTCTATGTGTTTCGAGTCTGGTAAAAGTGTTTATGTACGAAACCTGTAGATTGCTGTCACATTGGTGAACCTCAAGCTCCTTATGTTGTATTTTTCTGGATGATTTTAAACCCACATTTGAGAAATGAATGAAGAAAATATTTTAAAGGATTATTTGGTCTTAGATTGCAATCATTGAAGGTCTCTGTGCAATAAGCCTGGAGTTCAATGGTCACAGGGCACATTTAGTTTCAAATATTTTTCATTATATTTTAGATTATACATACAACAATTAAAGACAAAAACAATAGAGTTCAAAAGGTAAATACATATAATATTGTTTTGTATATTTCTCAGGCTAAATAATTTGTTTAGTCAAGGTTTATCAAAAATTTACAAATTACCTATAAAAATAAACTATTAAAATGTTTCTATTATCTTTTCAATACATTGATCATAATAGTGAATATTGTTTAAGGTATTGTTTGAATATGAAACTCCCCTCTCCATTTCAAGTTGGAATATAAGTTGTTTCTTATACTGAATGAATTCTGGAGTTGATATTTGTTTCCAAGGTCTTGCGATAATTACTTTTGCGGACATAAGACAGTGAAGAATCACTGGAGATTTCTTTAGATTTATATTAAAAACTGACATAGTGGAGTATATTGAGTCCCAGAATGAAATTATTCTTGGACAGTTCCACCAAATATGTATAATGGATCCTTCCTGGGCTAGGCATCTCCAGCAGAGTGGGGAATTAGTTGCAGATATTTGAGCCAATCTAGTTGGAACTAAGTACCATCTGTGAAGTACTTTAACCCCTTAGGGACCAAACTTCTGGAATAAAGGGGAATCCTGACATGTCACACATGTCATGTGTCCTGAAGGGGTTAAAGAAAGTTTCTATAATATTAAGGCAATGTATATGTTTTTTTTAATTAATCTCAAATGTAAACACCATTCCTTATCTGTAATTTTATGGTTTAAATCTTTTTACCATTTCTTTTTAGCTGAAGGTTCTATACTTGAGTAAGATTGTCTGAAAAATATCATGTCTATGGAGCTAGATACTTTAATCTCCCTTCTTTTAAAAATTTTATGTATTAGGTTCTTCTTGTCTCCTTCAAGCCTTAGGAGGAATTAATTCAAAAAAACTCTCACTCTTAAATAAGTGAAAATTTCTTTATCGGAGATATAAAGTTTCGATTTTAGGTTTTTAAATTAACTCAAACTAGAATTTTGGAGGAGATCCTCAAGCTCTCCAAGTACTAAGATTTAAATCAGGCATGACTCTTTTAAGGAGTCGGATATTAGCTCCCTCAAATATTTTATTAGCTATATTGAGATTCTTTTTTATTAATTGCCATTCTTCTATAAGATGGTTTACAATACTTGAATTAAATTGCATTAAATGATATTTAAGATTGGTAAAATCATCCCATATCAAGAGAGCTAAGTCCTTTTCTTCTATTCTAAATGTTTCTATCTTAAACCAGGCTGACTCTCTCGAGTTTTGGATCTGAAATGTATGTATATAGGTGATAATGTTGACCCTATATATATCCTTAATTAAAGGGTATCCCATACCTCTTTTATTTTTATTTTTTGTTAATATTTGAGATTTAATTCTTGGGGTCTTTCCTTTCCATATAAAGTTGGATATTGAATACTGAACCATATCCAACCAGGGCTTGGGAAATTTTAATGGAATCATATTAACAAGATAAGCCCATTTAGGGATAATATATGCCTTTATAGTGTTTGACTCTTCCCCACCTAGAAATCTCTAGGAGAAGCCATTCCCTAAGGATTGTATTAGTATATTTTATCATTTTCAAAAAATTGGCTTCGACTATGTCTTTGGGGTTTGCTGTTATAATGATTCCTAGACATTGGAAATCTTTCTTAGATCAGTGGAAATTGTAATTATCTTTTAAAAGACTAAAAGAGGAAGGATTAAGATTTATAGTCAAAGCTATTGTTTTATGGATATTTTATAGTTGGAGATATCCCCATATTTTTGCATCTCCTGCATCAGGAAATCAAGTGACATAGTAGGATTAGTAATAGAAATTAGAACGTCGTCTGCATACAAACAAATTTTCAATTCAAAGTCACCTTTAATAATACCTCTTATGTCAGGGTTGTTTCCAATAGTGATCGCAAGCTGCTCAATAGAAAGAACATATAAGAGGGGAGACAGGGAGCAACCCTGCCTAGTCCCATTTGTAATATCGAACCATTCTGTACAGAAATCAGATCCCACTATTCTGGCTGTTGGACAAATGTATAAAACTCCGATAGCATTTGCTATGCATCCTTTGAGTCCAAAAGCTGCTAAGGTTTTCTTCATATAACCCCATCCAACCCTGTTGAAGGCCTTTTCTACATCCACCGATAGGGTCAAAAGGGGAGTCCCTGAGGATTGAGCGTATTCAAGGACATCAATCATCCTACGAGTATTATCACTAGAATGCCAGCCCTTAACAAAACCTATTTGATCAACATAGTTCAAATCAGGAAGTAGTGGAGTTAATCTTCGGGCTAAAACTGAAGCATAAATCTTGACATCTGCGTCAATTAGTGATATTGGTCTATAATTTGTAATATCTGTTGGAGGTTTATTCAGTTTCAAGATAGGTTTTATGTTGGCTTTTAATAACTCTTTTGTTATGTTGCCTGTAGTGACAATTTCATTGAATGTTGCTGCTAATTTTGGTGAAATAATATCTCTGAATATTTTGAAAAACAAATTCGAGAAGCCATTAGGGCATAGTGTTTTTGAAGTTTGAAGATTGTTTATAACTGAGTTCACTTCTTAATGTGTTATCTCTTGATTTAGTTTGTTTTTGTACTAAAGTGATTTTTGGAAATTTTATTTTTTTCTAGGTAATTATCTATGGCGACCTCTATAGGACTATCTTCTAAATTAGATAGCTTCTCTTAATATTTCCTCAAGGAGTTACCAATACTATCTGGCGTCAATAGAACATTATCCCCTTCAATAATTTTATAGATCTTGTTATGTGCTTTGTTTTTTTTTAAAAATCTATTTGGTAATATTCTATCAACTTTATTGTTGCGATAATAGATTTAATTTTAAGTCTTTTCAAATTAAATTCAATCCTCTCAAGGATCTTTTGGTTTATCATATTTTTATTTTGTTTGATGAGATTAACGTTTTTTAGTGAATATTTCTCTTTATCCTGGGCTGTTAAATTATATAGTTTTATGTTAAGGTCTGACAGGCCAATCCCTCGATCTTTTCTTTGTTGACTCGCTAATTTTATTAAATGACCTCTGATTACAGCCTTCTAGGTGCACCGCAGATATGTGTTTGATGAAAATTAACCAGAACATACATCTAAGAATAACTCAGAAATATTTTTAATATAGTTTTTTTTTTTTTTTGCTAATATAGACTCATCAAGTTTCCATGGTGGAGGAAGTTTTCTCCCTGTTTCTTTTATTTCTAATATAAGAATTTCATGATCAGACCATGCATTAACTTTTATACAAACAGATTTTACTTTTTTAACTAAATCAGTATCTCCCCAGCACATATCAATTCTGGCCAAGGTTTTATGGACTGTGAAAACATGAGTGTAATTACGTTCTGTAGGATGAAATCTCCAAATATCATAGATGTCGTTTCTTTTAGCAAGTCTACAAAGTGAGGATGCTTGTTTAGCGAGATTTTTATCCATTCGTTGGCCAGATTTCAGATTTTTTATCTAGATTTGGGTCAGAAACACAATTGAAATTTCCTGCAATTAATAATATTCCTTTGCGGATTGTTTCAATTCTTGTAATTATTTTAGACAAGTAATTTACTGGAGCTCTATTAGGAAGGTATATATTCACTGATATTTCTCCATTAGCTTTCTATATTCACAGTTTCTAGTCAAAGATAACCTTGATATACCAAACAACATCACACTAAAAAAACATTTACAACAAGGCAACATAAATTTATGTATGTTAAAAAACATTATACAGGAAAAACCGTTGCAAAAATTGCAGCGATAAAAAGTTGGAGTGAAAAAAATCTCCAACAGCAAGGTATCAGATATGATACCCACAGGGAGGGAGATAAACTGATGAGTATTTTACTTATTGAAAAGGATCTTTAGATGTCTCAATCATTTCTTAGCTTCTTTCTCATTTCTTATCTGTTCCTTCCCTTTCACTTCTCCTTTTGTTTCCATACTCCCTTTTTCTTTCTATTTAGCTTTAATTCTTTCCTCAGATTCCCATCTCTTCGCTCGCTTTTCCTCCTCCGTTCCTTATCCCTTATCTTCTCATCATCAAAGATCCCTTTCTTAGACTTCTCTTTATATCTTTCTTTCTATTGTCTATCTTTATCTACCTAGGATTATAAATTGTATATATGTGATAAAATTACATTAATAAGAATAGATTTCTAGCATAGATATTTATATTTTATATTGTAACACACCACCTCTTTTCCAGGTAGGATTTTGTCACAGATCTTGTAACCACAGCATTCTAGGGTAATGAAAGTCCAGGACACATCCAGCTCAATTTTTCAGATTTATTCTGTGAAATATATATATATATATATATATATATATATATATATATATATATATATATATATATATATATATATATATATATATACACATACACACACACACAGGTGTTCCAAAATGAAAAATAAACAAAGCAAAATTCCTTGCTCTTGCTTGAGCACTTACTATACACAGCAAATCCCTACCTGGAATTGGGTGGCTTTCCCACTTGCCAATTTACAAAAAGTATAACTGCAAGACACCATTCCTCTGGCTTTTCCTCCTCACTCTGCAGCATGCTGATCCCTTTTTTTTAAAAGCCTGCTAGCTAATTGATCAGATACAGGTGAGGTGCAATTAGACATAAGTGAAACTATTAAGCAAAATAAAAGTTCTGGTCTGACTATTACTTAGCAGCTGGTGTTATTGGAGCACTGGCCCACCCTGCTCTCTAAGTGCTCCGCCCCAGTGACCCATACCGTGGTTTGCAGAGTACAAGTGATGCATCTTGCAAACCTAACATCTCTCCCTGGGACATTTAACTCTCAAACCTCAGGCTGCTGTTCAGTAAATCAGGCCTAATGTATACAATGTATACCAAACCACATTGTAGCGGAGATGCAATATTACCCAGGTTATCTCCGCTTGTAATCCAAGTGAGGCTCAGGAACAAGTAAATAGTAAATCCACAGGCAAGGTTTCCAGCAGGTAAAATACAGCAATATCCCAACAGCAATCCCAATAACTGGACGACACACAGTTTCAGGAGCAGAACTGAAAGCTTTAATCCACAGTCTCCTTATAAAGCATGCTCCCATGCAAGGGAGGGATTTACAGTAATTATTACAGTAGCCAATCCTGTCCTGGTAACCTCCCACACATCTCCTCCCCTCAGCCAGCATCATAATCCCCTTATCCAGTACAGTAATTCCCCCCGTTTCTGGATGTACCCCTAAACGTAGGGGTACCACTTTAAATCCTACATCCCCGGACACCCCTGATCTGGGTGAACAACATATCCAAAAATTACCCAGATCAGACCAGGGGTTCGGGAAATGTATGGAGGGAATAAAATGACTGACCGCACTAACTGAGATAGCCGAATCCGGTTCCATGCGAATGGGCCCTGCGGTCGGTCCTTGCATAAGGGAACAAAATATACGAAAGCCTCTAGCTATAGAGGCTAGGGAGGGTTCGCCTGAATCCCCTCGTTGGGTATTTTCTATCTACCGAACGAGGGGCCGTTCGGTATTTTGGAACCGAACGGACCAGGGTTGTGGAGGTCTCAGCGGTGTTCGCCTACTCGAGTGTCCGATTTTAGTTCCAGACACTCAACGGCAAAACACTGCTGTTCGGGAGTTTTAAGATGGCCGTAGCCACGTGTTCGTTTGTCGAATGGTGGCCACCCCCGAGAACAAAGGACGGCTACTTACTATTCAATTACCCGTTCGCAACAATGTTGCAACGGGTAATTGAGGACACACTTCACACAGGGGAGGTCTGGTTGTTCGGTAGTTTCATTCGAATAAACTAAGGGAATGAAACTACCGAACAATCAGAGGAATACAATTCTTTTAACACATATAAAACACAGCAGATACACGAATGCAGTGGTATACAGTATATTTGTAGGATCACCTGGTGCCCTCCGCTACACACATTTTCTCTCACAATATCTATATAGTGCTTGTGAAGCATAAGTCTAAAATTAGTGTATAAGTGCAGTAAATCTATCCTTGTGATCATTCTTGAAACACAAGAAATTTTTAATATTTAGCATACTTATTTAAATTCTTAGGCTATATAGTGCGTGTGATGTGCATATAAATGAAATTATCATATTATATTTCTTAACAAAAAACAGTCCTCTTAAACTTAATTAGTTTATCTACCTACCAGGATCCACTCATCAGTCGTCTATTATTATTGAAATATAAAAGTGAAAAATATTAATAGTGCAAAAAAAAAAAAATTAAAAATAAAATTCTCTTTTCAGTAACTAGCATAGTTATTTGTATTTTATATCTATATAGTGCTTGTAAGGTGTAAGTCTAAAATTAGTATATGAGTGTAATAGGTCCGTCTTAGTGTTCCTGGTACACAAGAAATTTTCAATATCTATCATACTTATTTAAATTCTTAACCTGTGTAGTGCTTATGATGTGCGTAAAAATGAAATTATCAATTTATATTACTTTAACAAAAACAGTCCTTTTAAACTTAGTTTATCTGCATACCAATACCCACTCGTCAATCATCTATTATTATTGAAATATAAACGTGAAATAAAAAAAATTAAAAGAAATTATAAATCCTAAGGAAAGAGAAAGTCTTGCATGATTCTGTAAGTTCTTCTTATCTTCCGATTATATTTCAAATGTATGTAAAATTTATTGTGTTCAGCCCTTCTTTTACCATGTCTTAAATATTTTCCAATCATTATAATACAAGATCTATAGTGACAAATGGTAAAAAAGAAAAAAAGAGCCTTACATATTTCTTGAAGTTCTTCTTAGGTTTTTCTATTTATATCTCATATTTATCTAAAATTAGTTGTATTCAGCCATTCTCTTGCCAAGTCATAAGTCTTAAATGTTTGCCAATCATTATGATGCAAGATCTGTAGCGAAGATGGATATTGTCATCTAAATTTTAAATTATATTTTATTAATATTTGAAAGATTGGAGAAAATTCTCTTCGTTTTGTTCTTGTAGTATATGAGAAATCTGGGAGGGTGAATATATCTTTAAATTTTTCTTCAGTTAGTTTATTCTTTTTCAATGATGATAAGATAAGATTCTTGGTTTCATATGAATGAAATGCAACTATGACATCTCTTGGGAAGTTATTTTTAACTTTAGATGGTTTGAAAATTCTATGACACAGGGAGGGTGGGGGGTAGTGGAACACAGGGAGGGTGGGGGGGGTAGTGGAACACAGGGTGGGTGGGGGAGGGGGTAGTGGAATGCCGGGTGGGATTGTGAACACTGGAATGGGTCACGCAAGTTTTTGGTGTGCCGTTGGCTGGGGATAAGACTGTTTATCCTTTTTGGGCTTGGAGATTGATTCAGTGCAGGTGATGTGTCGCTTGCTGGAGGACAAGCTGATTGCTCTTGGGCAGGTGGTATCTGAGGTCCACGGGTCTAGGAAGGTTACAATGCGGGCTCTGCATTCCTTGATTAGCTGTTTGAATTTTGCTTGCTGGGTGATTCCGGTTGGGTTGGGTGTTTCATAGGTTCCTAGCTAGGGCTATGAGTGGTGTTTCGTTCCCTCACCATTTTGTGTAGGTCTCTGCTTCCATGAAGGCCGATTTGGAGGTGTGATCGGTTTTTCTGCGGATTTCAATGGTCGGGTGTTTTTTTGGGAGGTAGGGTTGCTTCGCCGGATTTTAAATTGTTTATGGATGCATCTGGGAATGTAGGGTTTGGGGCATTACTTTGCTGGACATTGGTATGCGGAACCTTGGCCGGAGGCGTGGAAGGCCAGCCGCTCATTCACAACTTGGCATTTCTGGAATTTTTTCCATTGGTGGTGGCTTTGGCTTTATAGGAAGGAAGGATATATTGCAGAACAGGAAGGATATATTTTTCTCTGATAACGTCAGCAGTGGACGCTGTTAACAGTTTATATGCTTCCTCCATCCCGGTTGTTCGGCTACTTCGCCGTTTTGTCTTATATTGCATTAAATTTAATATGGTTTTTCTGGCGCAACATGTGCCCAGGTTCTAGAATGTTGTTGCTGCCTCGCTCTCTCGTTTTCAGTGGGTGAGGTTTCGTTCGGCGGCTATGGGCGCACAGAAGGAGGGAGGTTCCTTGTCCAGCGGAGGTGTGGCAGCTCGGAACATTTTGCTTTGCAGACTCGTAAGAGGGTCACTTGCGCCGTTCACATGGGCAGCCTAAGTCAAGGTTTGGCAGGATTGGGACATGGCGCTGTCTTGTGCGGGGGGGGGTCACGAATCTGCTGAGGCTAGATTTGATACACTTTTATGGCTCCTGTGTAGGCTGTTTGCTTCGGGTGTGTCTCCTTCGGTTGTGAGGCGGAGCTTGACTGCACTAGCATTCTTATTCAAGCTTAATGGTTGGGAGGACATGACTAAGTATTTCATTGTGCAGCAAACACTTAAGGGGTACTGTTAGGGACGGACATCGCGGGATGCGCGACGGCCAGTATCTTATGAGGTTCTCCAAGGTTTGATTAGTGCGCTCCCAGAGGGGTTTTTTTCGGCGTAGGAAGTTCTTTTGTTTTCTGTGGCATTTAGTTGGTGCTCTTTTGGGGCATTTCGGGTGAGCGAACTAGTCAGTAGCAATCGTTTTGATGATTGTGTGGTATAACACTTTGTTATTCTAAGACTGACGTCTTTGGTACGGGTTGCTTGGTGGTGCTATTTTCCTTGCCAAAGTTTGTCCAGTCTATTCAGCTTTTCCTTTTAGGGCAATGCGTGCGGGGGTTCGAGGTTCCAATTCCACAGGGTTTTTCGGTAAGCTTGGTGTAACGGTACCCTCAGCATAAAAGGGTTAAACCGCCGTTTAGTAGATCTTCCCTTCCAGAGACACAGGCACAGCTACTGCAGAACACCAATCTGCCGATCAGGAAACCATATGAATGCCGTAAACAGCCGAATAGGAAAAAACATCCGAATAGGTTTACACTCCAAGCAGTCAAACGGGAACAGCATACAATAAATCCCCCCAAGATCGAGACAAAGCTCCGTGTTGAGGGTCAAGCAGTGAACAGACAGAGCTGTGGGTTTATTGTGCTTATGTACACATTCTTACACATTAGTACCACCCACAGGGTTTTGGAACACAACCAATAAACACATACAATACACTCAGACACTCCCACACAAAATCCTCCCCTCTGCCTGTGATACAATTACCTTACACAATGGGTAATGTAATTATAACAAGCAGAGAAATACATTTTTTCCACATTATTCATAACTTGAAAAGTATGCATCACATTCACATTTTCAGAATCAGCATACTCCAAATACAAACATATGTCAAATTCATACAAATTGGTCCAATGGTTCAAAAGATAGATCGTAGTCCTTTGTGACCAAAGGAAGCATGGCTTTTCTGCCCAAAACCAGTTCCACAGAGTCTTCTATCCTGGAGATAATTGGGAAGTAATCCAATTATCTCCAAAGACAGAGGCAAAACTCCATTGAACACATGGCAGCAAAAGACAATAAAACACATAAAAACATATAACTGTGCAGCCATTGCACAAAACAGGTACATTCAACATATCCCCAGATAGCTCAGATCTGAGCGCACATTATTACTGAATGGCGCTCAGAGCACACACATACAGTTCAATTGCCATGGAGCCAAAGTCTTTCCCATAGTCTTTCATTATACGAATGGGCTCCATGCCATATCTATCTGGGGTATCACCGCTCAAACAGGGAAAGCACCAAATGACCCGGCTTTCATG